TAGACAATGATCTTCGATTGGTTTTCCGGCGCAAAAACAAACAACGAAGACGCTTTGCCAGCACGCGAACAGGCAACGTACAGCTGACCGTGCGAAAAACAGGGAAATTCGAGATTTATCCCACAGACTTCCAACGATTGGCCTTGAGACGACGATTTCAAGCATGCATTAAGTTCATCGGCAGCAGTGGATTTCGGGATGACGGGAAGCGTTTGACGAAAATCTCCGGAGGGCAATATCATATCCCGACCAAATCGTCTCGAATCCCCTCTTAAATCCTTCATTGTTCGGTCAACTCCTTCTAAAGCTCGTTTATGCACCATCGTGCATTCATCCCAAATAATGATTTTGCATTCTCGCATCAATTTCGCTATCGCCGAGTTCTTGGTCAATGTAGACGTTCGCTGATCAACCGTGAGGGCATTCATCGGCAGCTTAAAAGCAGAATGCGCTGTTCGACCGCCTTCCAACCCAGAGGATGCAACAGCCAACGCAATTTGAGTTCTTGACCGAATTGTTGCCAGAATCAATGAGCAATGTCTTGCCTGTTCCACCAGGAGAATCAAGAAAGTAAATGCCTCCCGTTCCATTGTCAACAACTTTCATCAGCGAATCGTACACGTTCTCCCGATCGGCATTCAACAGCGTCACATTTGTTCGCACTCTTTCGGCCAGCTCATCTTGATCATAATTTTGCTCCCGTTGCAATTCGCGATTGAATGCATCGTGCAGCGAACGATTTGGCGCTGGCATTCCCAATGTCGACAGCAGACTGCCGCACATGAGCACGCAGATGTCTTCGATCAGAACTAACGCTTCGTTGCGCATCTCGTCGTTAATTTTGAGATCGAAATTCGAAGTTGTCGTGCGAACTCTGTGCAAAATGTCGTCAGCCATCTCGTCCTTGTATTTATCCCACAATGCAGTCGGGTTCGACGGATGACATGTAGCTGTGATGAGCGCAACAATGTACGAATTTGATTCGCTGGCGCAGAAGCAGTTGCATCGGCGAGCGTTGGGTCCCAATGTGTATCGTTTTCGAGCAAATTCAAACGTTGGCAAACCTCCCGAAAAGTGGCACATAGTACACCATCCACAGTACGCAGGGTATCGAACGATGTAGGGCCTCTAATGTTTAACAAAAGCAAGCGAAGATAGAAGCATTCGTCTTGGCGTGGATGAATTGTGTATATTCGACCGAGGGCATCAGTCGAATATACATCAGCGAAGCCAGCAACATAATGGCTTTTCTTCAGGCGTTGAAACTTCTTCGATGCTGCATTCCATGTGGCATTTCCGAATAGAGTAAAGTCCTTGCGAACGGATCGCTTTCGCATGTAGAAAAGAAATTTGTCAATGTTGTCGCTGGTGGTCGTTCTGCTTTTTTGCGTTGCCATGTATCATGTTCGTTGCCACAATGGAATGCAGCTCCGGATCCGTTTCTGGATCTGGTATTACGGCAGAAATGATCGAATCAATGGGATCTGGTCGGATCTTGTCGAATATCCAAAGCAGAATGTGTGCATGTGGTAAACCACGCTTCTGCCATTCAACCGAGTACATCCAACAACAGAGTACGCTAAAAACCTTCTGCTTAACGATGTAATCCATGAGTACTCTGATCTTTTGTTTGAATACTCGTGCAGTGATATCATGTCGATCGCTGGATGTTTGTCCTGTCAGTAACAGATTCGTAATAATAATAATAATAATCCCAACGGTTTTTAACGGTTTCGGGTCATTTCGGATTGGAAGGGAACGTGATGAATAAATCTGGGCGTCCGTAATTTCGTACGTACGTCATCGCATCTTGAGCGTACCCATCCATGTGGCGCGGGCTTCCAACGTAAGTAGCTGGGAGAATGGTCAAACAACCGATGTTGGTCGCATCTCCTTCAGTAGCGGTAGCGTCCCGCAAGTGGATGTACTCGTCTGATCGTAATTCAACTGATTGACGTACATGTCGACGCAGTAATGTTGAAACAACCGGCGATATCTCAACAAATGATTCTCAACATCCTGCCGAATCATCTATCGATATGCATAAAAATTCATTGAGCTGACCTTATTCGTTTCTTCTTCTAAAATATGAACTCGAAATTAGTTGTGGAATGAAAAAGAACTGATAACTTGTAAACAAACCTGTCGTTGGATTGACCATCTTCATATTGAGGTGATAGCCATCCCCTCCACGACAGAACATCAACGGGTATTGAAGTGCATCATATGACCGATGAGTCTCGTACAAGCGCTGCAATTGTTCACCATCCCAACGCTTGAGAACAATATCGCGTGATTCCACATTCTCGCCAACAATCACCACTGCGACTTCATTGATAGTGGGAGCATTGAATTGTCTTGCATGGCCTCCAGCGGGTCTTTTGTCTGCTCTGATAATGATTTTGTGGTCGTCAGAATGCATTCTATCCAATGTGGTTTTGAACAGTCTGAGCAATTCATTATGCTCGTGCAGAAGATTTTGCAATTGTTCGATCATTTCACGTTTAGTCGAAGTAAAAATTACACAACGCTGATTTAGTTCAATTGCCGAATCACCAACGAAATAGATCTGAAGGAATTTATGATGTTCGTTTGGTGGTGGTAACAAAGCACCCGCTCGATGGTGAATTTGCCCTTGAATCTGTATGTTTCGAAGCAATTTCGGATAAAAATTGAAAGAATTGGTCATTTTGATAATAATAATACGCCATTACCTTATAACTCGGATTGTAGCCGGGTTGATCAACAACTTTGGTACTTTGTTGAAGAAAAGTAGTGAAATGGTTAAACGCGTTTTATATTGATTAAAAAATTAAGTAAAATACATTTAATGTGCACAAATCACACGTGAACGTTGAAAGATCGTGCATTTATGCAATTACAAGTGATAGCTGCACTTTTTATATGAAAATTTGCTACTGGAAGTGCAAACAATTTAAACAACAAATTACTTAACTAGTCGAATTAAAAAAGTGAAAATAGTGAAAATTTATGTATACATATCTATTTCTTACCATCCTCGTAAAGTTGTTTTTTGACGTTGAAATAAGCTTCATATATGTTACCCTGTGGAAGCAGATAGTCAATTTTCTCAAACGAAGCAAAGAATCAAACCACAAACAAATTGTTTATATGACGCACCCTTTAGATGGTTGATAATACTGGGAGCGCTTGACTGTTCCTTGGCTTCTAACTCTGGGACTGGGAGCATGGTTTATGTCTCAGCTAACAGAGGGTGTATCAAATAACCGAACAATTTTAAAAATAATGGGATGGTTTTATTATTCGATATCCGGTAATTTATAGTGGGAGTTATGACCTTTGGTTTTTTTAACAAATTATAACGAAAATTTATTCCAGCTTTTGCTGAATGGTAAATAAAAGCTCTGTGTACATTTTTAGCATATATGTAATCTCAAAAATGCCAAATTTTTATTTTATTTTGAAGACGGTGTGCGATATGTACCCAGGGCCGTAGGCAGGTTTTTTTTCGAGAGGCGCAGAGATTCTGACAAAATATTTTTATTTTTTCGAAAAAATAAAAATCATTGAAAAACGATTATTTTTAATCGATAAAATAAAAACCATAAAATGACGGTTAAAAATTATCTAAAAAAAATAAAAATTACAAAATAACGTTTATTAATGATTTTGAAATAAAAATTTTCGAAGGCATTTTTTGTGCAGCATAAAAGATCTGCACCGTTCGTTCGATTTTCCTAAATTAGGTGTCAAATTAAAAGGCTTGGACTGCAGATATACAATCAGGTTTTACTTTTTTGAAAGTTGTCAGGTTTCAAGAAATTATGTATATTCAAATTATTTTGAAAAAAATCAAATATTACAAAGTGGGTATCAATGGAAAGGGTTTTGAGAATATTTCTTTCTTAACTTGAATTTGGGAGGGTTGCCATCTGTTTCAAAAATCGAATTAAATTTTAATTAAAGAAATAAATTTGGAAGAAAATTATTCGACATATGGGTGGCAAACGAAATTGGGCTCAGAAAATATTTTGAAGTGCGTTGCCACCTGCTCGAAATGTCGAATTCGGTAAACTTATCCAAAAGTTATATGAAATGTCAAAATATGGATATCAAACGAAAGAGTGTTAAGAAGCCTTTTGTTTATGCATTATGAATATTTCTGAGGTGTTGGAAGAGGGTTGCCACCTCCCTAAAAATTAATTTAATCAATCAATCGAATGGATTTGAAAAATTCTCATTTTCGTTGTTGTTGGTTTGAAAAATCTTTGCTTCTGAACTATATTTCGCGGGGTTACCTCATATTTAAGCAATAAAATTCAACTTAATTCATCAGTTAATTAAAATGTGTATCGCAATGTTAGAGGAAGAATATTTAAGAATATCCTAGCGCGAAACTGCTTTTGAGGAGGGGTATCCCTCCTGTTTAAAAAGTCGAATTTGATTAGCTTTACGCAAGTTATTTGAAATATGAAGCGAAAGGGTGTTAAAAAAACTTGGGTTTGAACATTTACATTTTAGTTTTACCAAATATTTAAACACTATTTATTTATATATATATCTTTATTGAAGTATTTGTATATGTAAATTCTGTAATTGAAGTATTGTACAAAGTATTGATAACACTAAATGAGATTTTTATAGATTTATTAACAAACTACCTAGTTGAAAGAAAATTATTTAAATATACATACAAACATACATAAATATCAAAAACGGCACAACTCTGAACGAATGATATTTAGCAAAATTTTAATTTAAGAAAAATTTCAATTAATCCCAAATTTCCGATAATTTTTACCATTAAAGAGTTGTAAATTTTAATGAAATAAATCTCAGTTGAAAGATTTTAAAATCTTTGCATTTTTCATAAAATTAAATTTACATAAACTAAAAAAAACTTACAAATAATTCATGTGTAATTTAAATTTAAACAAAATTTTATTTGAATGCTTATCTATACTATTTAATTCATTATAAATAAACTCTTAATCAGAAACAACTCTTAGGAGCTTATATTTTTTTTTTTGTAGTTTTCGTATATATACTATTTTTTTCTCTATATTCGTATACTAATTGTGTCTTTTTTTTTTTTGAGATTCAATGCATACAATCAACTGGCTTATGCTTATAAAAAGTACGAATTTTTTGTATACATTATTGCCTATCGAGGTCTTTGGAGAATTGAGATTCCTTAAAAGTAAATCTAAAACATTCGCAAATAACTTAAAAAATATTGCCTATCTTTAAAATATCGTATAACAATTGGAAAAAACAACACTCAAAAATGTTATGTAAATAAATCCGGTCTTTGGTTTCTCGCTGATTCCGTTTTGCTAGCACCGCCCACTGCCCGCACATTTCTTCATTCATCCTTCACTTATCTATGTATGTACATAATTACTCCTACATATTTATATACACCACCAGCTCCTCCCCACCACTCACTCCGTTTTCACCACCGTCTCGCGCTCATACTTCCGTTCGAATTCGTGCAATTCGAATAGGCTTTGTTGGTGTTGTTGTTGCAGCTCATGCTGGTGTTGCAAATGCAACGCAATCGCTTGCGCATGCGCGTGTTGTTGTTGCTGCTGTTGCTGTTGCAGCTCAAACATCACCTCATCCTCCTCCAGTGATGGACTACGGCTAAGTGCCACATCTTGTTGCAACAATGCATGATGATGATGATGCTGGTGGTGGTGGTGGTGGTGTTGTTGTTGTTGTTGTTGTTGATGCTGCTGCTGAAGCTGTTCAATTTTAATGGCTTCCTCATGCAGTGGCACCAATTCGCCGAAGCTGGAATGCGCTGGCGATACTGAACCAGCTGGACTATGCGCCTGTTGCTGCAGGTACTGTTGTTGTTGTTGTTGTTGTTGTTGCTGTTGGTGGTGGTAATGCAACGAATTGCACATATTAGATAAATGCGTCTGCAGTTGGCCATGTTGAAACTGATGTTGGTGTGTTAATTGCTGAAAGATCTGTTGTTGTTGCTGTGGCGATAGATGGTGTCGCAGTTGCTGCTGCTGTTGCTGCTGGAGTTGTTGCTGTTGTTGGAGCTGTTGCGACGTCGTCGTCGGTGTGGTTGGTGTGCTCGGCGTTGATGGCATTGAGACTGATGCCGAGGGGGATGAGTGTGGTGGCATCAGATGCATAAGTTGCTGGGCCAATAATTGTTGTTGTTGCTGTTGCTGTTGCTGATGGCGCGGTGAGGATGATGCGTGTTGTTGTTGTTGCTGCTGCTGCTGCTGTGTCTGCATTTGCTGTTGGTGAGCCTGCAGCTGCTTCTGCATAAGCTTTAAAGTTTCATTGTTATTGGTGATATGATTGTTGTTATTGTTGTTGTTGCTATTATTATTGTTATTATTGACATATGCACCAGTGTTATTATTATTGTTATTGTTATTCAAATGCCCATTGTGAGTCGGTGATGTGGATGAGAACATTATTGGTGAGTGGATGTGTGTCATTGGTGGGGACATTTTCTGGTTGTATGATTGCTGCAGTTGTTGTTGTTGTTGTTGTTCTTGTTGTCGCAGTTGTTGCTCCTGCATGGCGGCCACTTCTTCCAACTGTTGTTGCTGCTGTGGCGTTAGCGGTGATGCAGGCAACAGTCCCAACAGCGGTGACTTCGTGTCCGTCGGGGAGGCGCTGCCGTCATTTGTTGTTGGTGACATTAGGGTTGTTTGCGCCAGCGCAGTGTTGTTGCTTTGTGGCTCTTGTTTCAATTGCAGCAATTGTGTGCTTGCCAATTGTTGTGCTTGTTGTTGTTGTTGCAAATTAGTTGTTAAATGTTTTAGTTCTGATGATGATGTGTTGTTATTGTTTTTGTGTTTGTGTTTAGTTTTAATTTTAAGTTGCAGTTAGTTGTTTGTGTTGATGAATATTACCACCGAAAGGAACACACAGATATAGTGAGAGAGCGAGTGTTAGAGCGATGAACGATGAAACATGAAGCGCGCGTGTGAAAGAGAAAGGAAAAAGCAAAGGAGACAAAACAATACAATTAATTTCGCATGCTTCAGGCAAATAAAATTATAAAACTAAAAAAAAAAACTTGTAAAAACAATACATCACACACTTACCATTATTTGCGTCAGCGGCGGGGTTGGAGTTCGCATTTTGTTTGCTGCTTTTGCTAGATTTTTCGCCTTTAGTACCCTTTGCTTTTCGCTTGCGTGTCTGAAAAAGAGGCGAAATTATGTTTTTGTTGTAATATTTAAATATATATATTTTTTTCTTATCAGTAAAAACTATGTATGTATGTATGTGTACATATGTAGTATGTAGATTAGACTGGGTCGCGAAAAAATTTTTTATCAGCCAAAATAAAGTTTGAAAATTTTGTAGGCACAAATCTACAAATCTTCACCAAGTAACTAACTTTCAAATAAGGGAGTAGTTACAAAAAATTGTATACGTATTCCATTAGTTTTCCCTTCTGATACAGTTTCGGGCAGGCTGGCAAAGCATTTTTATATACCCGAGCGAACATAAATGATCAGAATGAAAAAAGAAATCGATTAAGCGATGACTGTCTGTCAGTACGCCCGTCCGCCTGTGCACACGATAACTCGAGTAAAAATAGATATATATCTTAACGAAACTTGGTACGTGTACTTATTTTCAGTCTAGGATGGATGGTATTGAAAATGGGCCAAATCGGACAATAACCACGCCTACCACCTAAATATATAACGGTAGTTTTCAGAAATACGAAAACTGCGACATTTTAGTAACTACCGAAGCTTATTCACTCAATCAAAATTGCTATTTACAATAATTTTAAGGCGAAATATAAGAACATTATACATTCTTGAAAATGGGCGTATCCACGCCCACTTATGATTACATTCGTATATCTTGGGAACCGCTCCACCCATTTCTTCCAAACTTAACACAGTTATTGGACTTGACAATGCATACCAAACGGCTTAAAAAGTTTTTAAAATCGGACAATAACCACGCCACAGAAGTCACATGAGAGGGAGTCGCCCTGTCTGAAACCCCGTTTTGTGGCGAACGGCTCGGATAAGTCTTTCCCATTTCTGACGGAGCTGGTGGTATTGCTCGACGTCATTTTGACGACTTGAGTCATTAGTCCTGATCAAATAGATATCTTACAGTGAGAAAAATGTTCTTCAGATTTCTGGGCGACGAATCAGTCGAAGACCTGTCAGTTTAGGCACAGTTTCAGTAGTTATTTTTCGGTAAAACACGATAAACATAAGTCTGGTTAAATAAACAAAATTTCCTCGAGGCATACATAAGTAAGTTAAGTTAGGAAGGCGTGTATGAATGTATAAAACTTCAACTCAAACTTTGAGATAAATTTAGAGTAAAATTTAAACAAAAATGATAATTCAGAGAGTAAATGCAGAAAAAAAATCAAATTCACTCCTCTGCTGATACTTATGGCTACATGGTTAATATGCCTTGTGAGCACTGCTAAATATTGGGTCATATGTATGTATAAAAAGTCTCAGCGGATTTTTGGGTAAATAATAAAAAAAATGTCTTTATTGAAACTCAATTTTAATCACGTATCTAGATTTTGGCCATAATTGTTTAAGACCTTTTGCCATTTTTCGGGTAGCTTCATAATCTCTTCGGTGTAAATAGAACTTTTTTTATTTATCGGCAAAAAACTTCTGAGATTGGGCGTTCTTCAACCGAATTCTGAAGTATTGAAATATGTATCACAATAGGGTTGTCAGCCAAAATAAATTTAAAAACGTTTCAGTTTGAAAATATGTATTTGTAAGAGGGTTGCCACGTGTTTGAAAAGTCTAATTTAATCCATATATGCAGAGTTTTACAAATCCTTATTTTAACAATTTTAAATATTTTTAAGCTGTTTGGAAAGGGTTGCCAAATGTTTAAAAAGTTAAATTGATTTTCATATTTCATTTATCAATCGAAATGGTTTTGAAAAGGCTCCATTTCAAAACTGCCTGTGAGAGGGTTGCCACCTGTTTAAAAAATCTATTTCAACTTGAGGTTTAGGAAAGTTGTAGTCTTAAAATATTTTGAAGAGGGTTACCAACTGTTTGAAAAGTTACGTTGAATATGGGTATCCATGGACATGGTTTTGAAAAGGCTGCATTCCTATATGAAATGCAGAAAAGTTGCCCCCTTTTAAAAGAAAAAGTCAAATTATACTTGATTTACAAAAAAAAAAAACTTTTAGTTTCTGCGCGATGGCTTCCAATTTGCCTAATTTCATACTAAAGCTGTCGGAAATGGCCTTAAAAACATTTTATTATTTTTTCCCCATAAAAATTGTGGGCGTGGCAAATGCAGATAAAATTTTCCAACTTGGGTCAGCGAAATTCATTTAAAGTTCGATTCTTCTTGCTCTTATAATAAAAATGAAATATCATTTAAAAGGTAACGAATCAAGTTCCTTAAGTGTTTTTGCGCTTGACTTTTATAAAAAAATATTAAAAATCTAACAAACAAAAGAAATACTGTCAAAACTGGTCAAAATAAAAAGTTTGTATTATTTCTTCCACCACTGTATATGGATTTATTAGACGATGAGCTATATCTTTACAAAAAAAGTAATAAACGTTCAATAAACGTGAATAAACTTGCCAAAACTTCTTAAAATAGAGCGTCCCTATTTATTTGCCAACCACTATATAATGTATGTATGTATGTATGTTTCTTTATTTTCAAGTCAATATAACTTTTTGCAAAATTTTGCCTGAAATGTCACCTTTCAAACGCGCGTCAGCTTGACGCAAATGGATTAGTGTTGCCAGATGTATGGGCATCAACAGCACATAGTGACAAAAATCCAGCAGAGACTTTTCCTATGCCTTTATATTTTTCAAAAGTGTTTGTGATAAATTAAGCCTTAAGACTTACCTGCTTAAATAGTACTTTGTTTATTCAAATTAAGAAATTTAAATTAAAAATAAGTTGGCGGTTACTAAATTTCCCTAATGTTTTTTTCCCTTCATATTTTTATACTAAACAGATTACAAAGTCAGTTGTCAACCTACCTGTATGGTGTCCTTCTTCATGGTTAATGGACGTTTCACGCTATGCAATTTGAAGTAAAGTCCGCAGGCATTGCAGACGGGCTCACCGCTGGGATTTCGACGCCACAACGAAGTGTGTGTTGTAAGGCAATTTGAGCAGGACAAACCGACGCGACGGGAGGCACTCTAAATTGTAAAAAAGTAATTAGTATATAGACTCATAGTATTTATTACAAAAAAAAAACTAATAGATTTTCATTGCAAATATTTAACATTAGCAAAATAATTTAAACAAAAAAAAAACGATAAAATTGATCTTTAATTTTAACTTTAAATTTCATTGAAATGTCTAATTTAAAAATGTTTGTAGGTATATCTGCATGTATGTATGTATGTAAAAGTATGTATTGTTTTGTGTCACCTACCATACGGCGCGAACTTGAACGACTAACATGCTCCTCGGCAGACGCTGTTGCCGTCCGACTCGGCACACTAAACGGATAGCTCTTATAGAAATCCCCGCTTGACTCAGCGGCCACTGTAATAATTATGAATTATTTATGAGAAATGTTTTTTAAGCAATCAAGAAAAAAAAAATAGTTTTGCTTATTTTTATTTACAAATTTTATTTTTTTATAAAAGTTTCGGTTTTTCGCTTTGCGACGAAAACTACGTTGTGCATCAATGTTAATAACTAAAAAAAAAGAATTAAATTCAATTAACCAATAATCCAAATTAAATACGACGAATAGTGCGTGGAAAGGCAAACCTAAATTAGTAATTAATTTTCAAGTATTTACTTAAGTAAAGCGTGCATTTTTTTCTTTTAACGTTCATAAAAAATAAAATAGTTAAGTGCGTAATTACAAATTATGATTTGAACAACATTTTTATTTCCTTGTTTTTTTTTTTATTTTCTTTTCATTTAATCGAAACGGATTTCATCAACAAAGGAAGCGAGAACGTTCACGCAACTACAACTACATATATGTGTATGTATGCATGTATGTACAACGGCAAACGATGGTGATGGCGAATGGCGGCACAGGCAAAAGCGAAGGCGGATTTCTATAAGATTTCTTTTTTTTTAATAATAAATATATTTTTTTTTTTACAAGAAGTTTAAGCTGCTTGCAAGTGCGGAAAGTAAGCATGTATGTAAGTAAGTATTTGTATTAGATTTTAAATTTGTTGCACAATTTCGGTTTTTTGTGTACTGTTTAAGTGTTTTTTTTTACTTTTTGCAATTTTATCAGTTTCTTTTTCGCATTGCTTATGTTTTGCTTGTTTAATATGTGTAATGAATAAGGAAAAGTGTAAAATATGTGAATTAAATTCACTTTAATTTTTGTTTTTTATATTAATTGAAATTTTTTTTTATATTTATTTTACCAATCTTCTAGGCTGTTTTATTAAGGGACGATTCATGCCGTTCGTTTTATTATAAAGACCGCACGCATTGCACAAATAATGTCCGGTATTATCACGGCGCCACAATGGAGTTGAAACCGCACCACAATTGACACATTCTCGCCCATCGGTGATAAAATCGGCATCGTAAAATGCTTCAATAAAGTCATATGTAAATTTAAAATATTTAAAAATTAGTTGCAAGCCATTTATATGTATATAATGTTTTATAGCATTTTCAAATATGTATTTATGTATGTATATTCTGTACGTATACATACGTATGTATGTATTAATGTATGTTTTTATGTGGAAAATGCTTGTTGAGATAAAATAATACGTAGATAATTCTTTTATAAAGAAAAGTTTTTCTAATAAATTTCACAAACGTAAAAGTCTGATAAAATCAATTTAATTACAAATAAATTAAGATAATTTTTTTGTTTAAGTAAATATTTTCTTGTTATATTTAAAAAAAAAAAAATTAATTCATAACGAATGAGTTTTAGATGTTACAAATACGTTTCCACTATCCCTAAATGCATAATTTCGATTTTCAAATGCAATTGAAATTGTAACTGTTTACACTAATGATTATCAAAACAATTGGGCAGCAAAAAAAAATTCCAAATTTTTCGGTGATATTTGGCAGAATGTAGTTTGTTGAAAAATGGTCAAGTTGAGACTAAAAAAATAAAAGCTTGTAAAAAGAGGATTTTGGAGCGTTTAAGATTCTAATTTTTAAATTTCTTTGCTAAACATTTTTAGGAGCTACGGACCTCTTGCATTCCTAACAGATAGCGCGAAAAAAAATTTGAAAATTTTCCAGTCAAATTTTGAAAGGGGTCTACGGGGAAAAAAAGGTAGGGAACCTCTGCTTTACACGATTGATCTCCATTTTAATTTCAATTTCTTTCACGCTACCGCTTATGATTTTGCTTAATCCTCTTAACCTCTTTTGCAGGTTACAAAGAAAAACAAGCTAAGCTTCTTTCTATAAAAGCGGTTTCTTTTGGTTTTTAACCAGTTTTCTATTTGATTAAAAAAGAAAATTTTCTTATCAGTTCTAAATTCTTCTTGCTTAAAAATCAATCACACTAAGCAAATTTTAAAGTCGCATTCTTGAAACTAAAACCACATTTTCTCAATTTTGCCCAGTTTTAGCTGAAATTTATAATTGCGTAATTTCGATCTCGTGGAAACACACTGTTACTCCAAATTGTAAATTAAAAAACAAACATGGTTGCAAAATATTTGTTGCCAAATATGTATATCTTATTGTAATTATGAATATTTACTCAGAAAACTTACTTAAAAAGTGCTCCGGAAATGTTAGGCGTAAAAAGTATGTCATAAATTAGTGTTAAACTTAAAATTGTAATACTGTGTTAACAGTAATATTGTAAAAAAAATTATCTCCTAAAATAGGTTCTATGAGAAAGTAAATAGTATATTGCAAAATTCTTTAATGGTTTATTAACATTTCAATACCAGAGTAAGTTAATGAGTAGTGCCCGGAATCTCATAAAAATTCAAGTTTTTATTGGGTTGGGGCATTTTCAAATGGAAACGGTTAAGTTATCTTTACGAATCATGGAATTTCCTATATCTCTGGTCAATACGAAATTATCTACCCTAATATGGGCCACGAAACATAAGAACATTTAGGGAAACGAGGCAGCGGATGAACTAGCAAGGTCCGGCTCCGCACTGAATGTGTCTCACGCAAAAATTACCGTAATTTATCACTTGAAGGCCAAGCAGAGTTGGAACCGTACAGTATCGAACAGGAACAGTTCTGGGTGTCCCACTACGACCCACTTAAAATCAAAGCCCCCTTAGAAATGAACAAAGAAGATACCTACAAACTTACTGTGGTGTGTACAGGGTACTGGCCCGTTAGGGTACGTGCCGAAAGGATTGGATAGCACTTCAACAGGTTCTGTCGCAGTTGCGATAACCCTGGCTCAAAAGAGACAGTCGAACGCTTCCTGTGCTACCGTCCAGTCCTCGCAAGGATTTGGCTTAAAACACTCGGCAAGCCATTCCTACAGAATGTTTAAGAATGTAGCTGCCTCTCCCTGTATGACGTACAGAAATCCGTTACCAGGTTGACACTCCACTTAAACCAACCACACAAGATTTTAATTGGATAAACAAAAAGTTTTATGGGGGCTTTATAATGGTTTACTTGCGCAAAATTGATGGTCAACTCTATTTCTCGTTAGTTTATAAAGTTTATGTTGTACTATAAGAATACATAGTAGATTGCAAAATAAATTTATAAAATACTTAATGATTAAATAATATACACATATAGCTGTGGCTTATTTGTTAGAAGTACATACTACTACTTCGTAGGACCTGGTTAGAACTGTGAACTGAGCAACATCTAAATTATAAAAAGTTTTTTTCTAACAACGATCGCTTCTCGGCAGGCAAAGGCAGACCTTCGAGTGTATTACTGGTATGAAAAAGCTTCTAATAACAAAACGAAAATTTAAATTTTTTACCTTTCGAACTTGCTTTGTTTTCTCAGTAAAAATATATAAAAAATATGGCGTTAAGGGAGTATTAAAATCCGAAATAGTGTACTTGGAAAGATTGACAATCTTAGCTCATTTATGAATTGAGCAAATTTATACAAAACCCTCAGATCAGAAAGATCAAAATCCCCAAAAGCCTACGTTAAGAGCGCTGAAAGAGTATTTCCGCTATGAACAGGGAAAAGTCATACAAAACAGTAAAATTTTAAATGTCAACATCCCAAAATGTCTACGAGATGAGCACTGTATAGAGTATATCCCCTTGAATACAAAGAGGAAAGGCTCAAACCGAAAATTATCGAGTCCAAAAGGTCAATGTGAAGAAAGTTGAATAGAGTAGGTATTTCCTCTATATATTTTCCTCATAGAAAACACTCAAATCAGTAATATTCAAGTCCAAAAAGGTGACGCGAAGAGCATTGATTAGAGATTTCCCTCTTCATTACACAGGTCTGCGAATTTGATTTTATCTTCCCTCCTTTCAAAAATTATAACTTTTTTTTTATATCTAGGATTGTTACATTAAAATACTGCCTTGTTTTTTTTTTTAGCAAATCGAGAGTTATTTTTATTAATGACATGCATATTTTAGAATTTTTAAAAATTTAAATGAAAAAACCCAAAATTATTAATTAAATCTAAATTTTTACTTAAAAAACAATAGTATTAATAAGAATACCCCTAACCACAAAGTAAATCAGAAATCATCGCAGGCTGGTGTTATCTATTAAAGTCTGGAATGGTATGGATAAAGGATATCCATGATCTTTTTAAAGTGGAATCAAACTTAAAAAAGAAGAAGAGAAATTAATCTACACAGACATCAAAAACAAAGCATTTGTTTATTTAGCGAAATACGTAATGGTCATACCATTCATGATATTTATTAAGACAAACCCTACTTCGAAAAGACAATACGCAATTTCTTTAAAACCTTAAAGTTTTAGAAGTGTATCCATAAGTTAGCTTGATGAAGATTCTGAATCATGAAAATTTACAGAGGTCTAAAAGTTTAAATTTGTAGAGGATAGGAGGAAATAGGATAGAAAACAGTATAAAAGAAGAGGCTTATAAAAATATTTCTATATGTATGTAGAGCGTGAAAAGGGCCTTTTAGAATAGATTCCCTTAATTCATAGTTTTTTAAAACCCTTATAAGAGCACAGTCTACGAGTATAGCCTTATGAAACCTGTTGCCGTTCCCACTTAAAAAATATACATATAACGTTAAGAATACCTCATATATATATGAAAGAATATACACGGGCGACGCCTCTAGCCATTCTGGGTCTCACCTTTAAATAATCGCAGATTTTTTTTCATTGTCGTTGTACGATCTTCTCGATGTTCGTTCACGAAAAGTTCAATTAAATTAATCGATGCACTGTTGTAGTGTTATTAATTCACGTGAAAAGTTGTAAACAATAATCCAACGATAATCTTTTTTATAAATATGTACATATTCATTTCTTTGCCTGCTTTAAACTTTGAAATAACTGTAAACAACACAAAGGGCGCTCGTTCTGTAAAACTTTCCACTACATACATACATATGTATATGTAGGTATAGCTATATATAAAT